ATTACTGAAGTTACAAACTGTACAGACACAAAATCAATTTGAAAATTCAGAGTTATGACGTGGGTTGTTTACCTAGTGCCGATCCTAGACAATACGGCGGCCCACGTGCAAATCAAAACTGGCCGTCCTTTTTTACAGAAACATAATATGTTTGATAATTATTTCGCCGCCCCTAAATTTAGCCGCCCACGTGCTCTGCACTATCTTGCCTTCCCCTCCCCGCTAGGATCGACTCTGTGTTTAGCAGATACTAGAAACAGGTGGACTGATGCTCATGGAAAGTCGCAGCATTGTCTCGAAAGAGGTAAACAACTGCAGTCATGATTCATCGAATTCGAGACGTATTTCAAATAAATGTCGTATACCAAACAAACATTTATGCTTCCAAACAGGACGTATTTCTAAGCGAATGTATACCGAGGTATCGCTGTGTTTGTTTGTTTATTATATTATATACTACTGAAACAGTAATATAAATATACCTGCTAAGGTTTATATATAAAACGGGCAACTGTGTATTACGCTGGCATACTCGCCGAGTTAAAGGATTGGCCATCGTTTCTTGAAAACGCGTTATTTTAAGTCTCTTAAACTCAAATGTCCTTCGCATTCTGTTATAAATTACCCGTTTTCGTTACAGTCTGTGATCCCAAAGCATCTAATCTTAGTTCAGATAGTTTAATTCGTATGACGGCGTCTTCTGCGCCAGATGGCGCCAGTGTACCAAACGTAACCAGTTAAGTCAGCTTCTACGACAATGTGACATAGAGCTAACGCAGCTGTCAGAACACGGAAGTGAATGCTGAAATGGGTTCCTGTTTACATTGCTTAGAGCGAGTGTATTCTGTTTCAAATGAGCAGATTCAATTTTAGGACAGCAGCAAGCATTTCCCGAAATTTCCTAACCCATATTAATTAAATTTTACTCGAAAATAGACGGTATAAGCAGTTTGGAATTAAGAAGTGATATTCTAGAAATGATGATTGTGTCATGCAACATTTTGCTCCTCATTTTCTTTCGGTATTCCTGATTAGGTATTAATATTTGAGACTACATTTGGGAATGGTATTAATATTCGACAACACATTTTGGAAATTTTCTAGAATCTCTATAACTAAAAATGTACAGTATTTCGTCGCGTTTGTTCCCCCTAGCTTTTTACCGCTAGGCTCTGGAACTTTTTTAAATATTCGCGTAATTTTCCCCTTTTTAAACGTATTCAGAGGACGAACTCCAATAAATTTTAAAATGGATTCCACGTAGTAACTGTTTTCATATTACTAACAAATATTCGCCCACCACCTGCAAATGTCATGCCGAATCTTTCCCTTTTAGATGTTGAACTTCATACCAGCCGAATAACGTCCCATCACATCCAAGAAAACACGAACCAACATCCAGTCTACGATTTCGCCATTCACCTTCTCTAATTAATGTATGAAAGGCCTAAGAAGTAGTACAAGCAACAATAAGAACGGAAGAAATTTTAGTTATACGGAAGCAGAAAGGAAGATATGTTATTAGAATTTTAATGTTAACATTACTATATATTCTTATTATAAGGCAGGTCTCTTTCAAGGAAATAATACTGCGATAAAAATACTTATCCATGATTACTTTTCATGTTGAGTTGAGTTCTTAGTGCAGCCACGTCCTTCGGAAAATTAAATTATTCACATAATTTTCTCTTCTCAATTTCCGGACGATAATATTAGTAAAAAAGTGGGGGGGAATATGGTATATTGTTTTGTTTAAAAAAAATTGTTTTAATAAGGGGGGATGGCACCAACAATTTATGAAAATTTTAAACAGAATTACTGTTTCACATTTTTTTTAATATTTTAACTATATTAAAAATACAGCGATATTTGTTTTACAATGGCCGATAGCTTAGTAGTCTAATACTTTTTTATTAATTGATTTGCAAAATACTGGCGATCTTTCTGACTCTGATGGAAATACTAGTACTAATCACATAGAAAGATATACATAATTAATAATTGCCGCATATTTCAGAGTATTTTTAACAAATTTCTTACTCATGGAGCTCAGTATCAGCTTATATTTAAGTTCAAAATTACTATAAATTATTTGATAATAAATGTGGTTAAAATTGTATTGTGTGGTTTAATGTTATTTATAAATAATTTGACAATAATGACAAAAATAACAATGTTGGTTAAATAATTGAAAAAATATTATTTGTATTTAATTATAAATTCTTAATCTTGGAATCCGATTCGGAGTTTTCTGGCATTTTACTTTTATACGTTATATTTCTAGTTTTAAATTCCAGTTATTTTACGTTTTGGATATAAATGATATAATTGAAATGGATAAAAATGGATATAATAATATAAATGATGTAGAAAAAGATAGTATTTAAAGGAAGTGTTTCGGGAGATAATTTGAAGTGTATTTTCGCTCTCGAGGCCACGTTGTCAGGTTTTTGCTACTCAGATAAAATTTCATTTTTCGGGTTTGCATTATAGTGCCGACATTTAAATACTTACGCCGGTTAGATTTGTGAACCAACTTCGTGTTATATTGAATTGAGCAGTCTTTCATTACTAGCTCAATTTTAAATTTGAACTCACTGTTACTTCAAGTTATATCATCACTGATTTGCTGAATTCTAAGCAGGAGTCGTGTGTTTATGCTCCAGTTCTGATTTAATGAGAAGGTTTGCTTTAAAACCTTCTCAAGACTATGTAGTTATGTTCAGACATAGCGATAATTCTCTTAACGTCTAACGTCTCTTAAAAGTTTGAAACTAGTTCATCCTACCAAAACAATTCAAACTTAATGACAGTGTTGTCACCTAACTCGAAGATAATATCATCTTCAGTTCCATTAATAACATTGCTCTGCAAAGGGATAGCATTACTTTAAAACTTAAAGAACATGCAATTCGTTTATCTCCAGGTATCTTTTATTGTATACGGAAATGGAGACTTGTATATGAATTCTAAACAGTAAAGCACAACAAAGGGGAATCTTTTAATTGCTTGACACTGGTTATCACAATTAAGAACCAAAATAAAATTCGTAACGCTATTGCTAAAGTGCCAAATGATGCCGGTGACCTTTTAGCGACAGATAGCTGAGTTTATACCTGTATTTTAAATTCGATTTCTGCAAGGGCGTTCTAGTATTTTTGGCTAAATTGTTTCATCAAAATCATACCCGTCGGTGTATAGATGCATTGATTTATATACAGAAGTATCCAGTATTTTGTCAAAGTTTCTAAGCAAAGAATATTACTTTTCGGTTAAAACGAAAACGTTGAGAAAGAAGACTGTTTTGTGCCGTTTAATAGAAAATGAGGCAGAACTCAGAACGGCACAAAACAAGATGAGGATAAAACATTTCTAAACATTCGAAATTGTTAGCATTCCAAATGTTTAGGAGATTCTTCTGGTACAAACAAAATGAAAATAAAAGTTAGAGAATTCAATCTACATTCAGTTCAATGAAATATAAAGTCCTTACCTAGTTCTTGATCTCTTTAACTTCTCAGACAGTTATTGAAGCTGTTTTAGATATTAATATTTTATTGACACATTGCAATGAGGGACAACTTACACACTTAACGTACATGCATGTAGCTCCAGTTTAAAAAGTTAACAAATAGTAAAACAGTTCCAAAATATCAACGCCATCTATATGGGCTAGAGTTCGCAACAAATGTAGTTGTTCATTTCACTTGGCGATAAATGAGAAGACCTGGTCTTTACCAATGGTTAACAGGTATTGGCCCCCATTCATCATTAACTAGACTTATTTTAATTTTAAATAATAATAATCAAATTACTTACATTTTCCATATTACAATAAATAATTTAAAAGGATTAAATTTTGAAGCATGTTTACATGAAAAAAAATGAACAGTTAAAAATAAAATACAATTGCATTAAAAATAACGTTCATAAAGTTCACAGTTCATGGAGTCTAAAACGTTCAGTATTGATTTATTTGTTTGAAAAAACAAATTTGTTTAGTTTATTAATGTATTTTGAATATGAAACTTACTGCACGATGATAAGCTAATTCTTTCAAGAATTTCTGATTTTTGCATTAATTGCTCAACAAATAAATTAAATCTGCACTTATTATCAAAGAAGTCTTTGTTACCAAACCGACATTTGCAATAAAACAATAAAATAATGTATCAACATTATTTTATTTATAAGCTGGCTTACAATAACTTAATTTCATCAGCAAGGCAAAACCACTGATATTTAACCACCTGGAAATCTTGTTACGAGTGCTTACATTTTTCTCTTAATAATATTTCTTCAAAAGTATTGTAAATTTTATTCTTCATTTTAATTTTCGAACTGCTTTTTTCGGAGTTCGAAGATTTCTTATTTTCAGATGTTCATAGCTTTAGACAATCAAGAGTAACGCAATCGTTATGTGGATAAATTAGCCCTTGGCTTGAGCCATTCAGTTAATCTTTAATGTTTAAACTTTTGTTGGAATCTTCAGTCTTCTATAGAGGCATTCAGGCTGAGGAGGTGGCTGGGACTTTTTAATAAGCTTAGCCAACTTTGTATCAGAACCGCCCGCAAGGTTATAAGAACCGAGGATAAAGATTCGACAGAAAATCTCTGTGATAAGGATCGAAGGACATCGAATAAAGTACACGCCAAGGCAAAGCTCACAGAACGCATACTCGTAGATCGCTAAGTATCAGTCGTTAATACGAATCATTGGACGTTGATCACATGGTACAGTGGACATTCTGCTAAGCAATGTCCAATATGGTATGTCAATGGCAATATGATAAACACGCAAGAATCATTCGTCGTTAGCTTCTTATATACTCAATCTATGGACCTTGTAAGAAACACATGAGCAGATCTTCCCGACGTTATCTTTTTATAACAGCGGCAAAAAAGAAGTCGCAGGTTTTTAGCAATAACGTAATGTAAAACATTTCTTCTGTAATTTTGATTTCGTGTTTACTGTAATTCTCTTTTCATTTCAATTTTAGGAGAAGGTTGATCTGGGAGAAGTAATGCTATCATTATGCTACCTTCCGACAGCTGGGAGATTAACTGTAACCATTATCAAAGCGAGGAATCTCAAGGTCATGGATATAACAGGATCGTCAGGTAAGAATTCTTCGTCATTGGAATTCAATGATTAACTCAATAGCGAATTCTTGTAAGTTATGGCAAGTTTACGCTGAATTTTTTACTTCCTGTTTCTTTTGTATTATTTAAGGCTTTAGAATGTATTTATAAAGGTGAATTTCAAATTTCTTTTTGGCCTTTTAAAAGTTTAAATATAAAGCTTTTCATGTGAATCCTAAAGATTCAGACCATTCAAACATTTCTATTACAGATACATAAAACTGAAAAATATTATTTAAATAAAGTATTATATTATTTTTTAAATCTATCATGACCTTTTCACAGAGCAGTACTGATGCCTGGGGCAAGAAAAGCAAATAATAAATTCTCCCACTTCCAGTCCTGCTTTAAGCTTTAGACTTTTGGTTTTTCACAGTAGAATAAATGCTTTGAGCCTTATTTAATGCAGTGAAAGGGTAAGCGAGAAAAATCTCAGATGGTTAAAGAACGAAACAGCTCAGCAAAGGTGGGCATAAACAGCATAAAAAAAAGTATGTGTTTTATTTGATATATTGACATTTCAGTCGCGCTCAATATACTCTCCTTTGAGAAAAATAAACTTTGACACTGTTTAGAAGCCATTTCATAGAAGTGCGTGGTCCTAGAAAGAAATGGGCTGGGTTTAAGTCGATATATTTTGCTTTACCCTAAATCAATCTTCGTAATATTTATACCAAAGTAATAAAAAATTATCCGACTTTTGATTGTATGGATAGGTGACCTAACCTTGATGTAATGTAGATTTGTTCTGCAGTGACGCCGTTGTCTTTAACGAACCAGTTCGCATGAAGAAGATGATCAAGCAACAAAAATATAATAATAATTCGTGTTTGGCAAGCATAATTTAAATCGGTTACAACTATCTAACACTGGTTTTGGAAAACTAAATGAGATATAGCAACCTGTTGCAAAATGATTATTTGTTGCATTGCTGAAATCGCGGGTATTTTCACTGCCTTAGAAGACAGTTACCGCCGATTTTAATGAACTATATTAATTATTCAAAGCAAAATATACCTTTCAAAACAGAAGAGGGAACACGCCAAACTGAAATATAAACTTAGCAAAGCTACAACTTTGCGTGCGGCGTAGATTTAGTCAAGATCTTAATCGATTTCAGGGGCAAACAAGTACAGGTCCCTCTTCAACAGGAGCAGAGAAATCTGCAAGACTGAAAAATACCGGGCACAGCATACCACATTAGTAAAATTTCTGTAATTTTCGCTAACTTTGTCACTCAGCTGAATTGTAATTCTAATCTTCTCGTATTTTGTAGTGTACAACTTCGTCTATCAAAACGAATCATAAACCAACTTTCTATATTTTGCACTTGCGGAGATCCAAGCGTTTCCGTAACCGGCAAAAACGCCACAATTTTCCTTTCCACAGACCACATAAAGAAACGTAAGTTTACGTTAAAAGCAAAAGGAATCGACAACAATTATACCAACGATATGGCTCGAATCTAATAAAAAAATTACAGCTACATAAAGATGCAGTTCGAAATAAATGAAGTATTATACTCTGATGATCCAATTCGTTTCTAAGATACTCGGTAAATAATTAAACACTCCTTGAGTCTCTATATATTGGCCCTTTTGTCAGCTGCATCTAAAAAATTAAACTGTCTTTACCAACGACAGCAGAGCAGTCGATTCATTGGAAACGCTAACGGATTGACCATATAGCCGCTAAAAAATGAACAATCTTCATTTCTAAACTAGCTTGTATTGTAGGCTTTCGGGGCTATCTTTGGTGAAAGGAAAAATAAACTGATATATTCCTTTCTTTTAAATATCATATTTCATGGGAGAATATCCAAGGTCTGTGCGAGTTAGAGGTTCAAGGATGAATGAAGAGTGCAATGCGGATGTACAAGAACCTTAGTAAGCTGAAAGTTTATTTTAAAATAACTACCCCTAGATTCGGAACAGAGAAATCTCCTGTCCACTTTACTCCTACCACCAGACTTTCGGCTCGACAATATTTTTAATGCCCCCATCCAGCAAAGACACTTTACACTTACAAACATTCGTACTACATTCTTTGGGATTCGAATCCTAGCCCAAAGCTATGTAGCCGATTCCTCTACCACCATAATAGTAGGACGTAGATATTTAAACTAAATTAGTAGGACGACTATATATATATAAACAAAAATTTAGAAATTTCAGATTGATATAAAAATTATTAAAGTCGCGTAAAATACTGCGAGATTAATTAAATAATCAAAAGATACATTAAATAAAAAAGGGTATTCAATAGTCTAACATGAAGTATATAACAAAACTGAAACAAAATGAAAACAGCTCAATAAAATAGCATATTAAGTATAGCGTAACAAATTTTTGAAAAATCTGTGGTCTTTTTCAAGGGACAGCCGAAGAATTTTTAGCAGAGCCATCTTTCTGAAATCTACCTGGATGATTAAAAATTCTTGAAATAATTCAAAAGAAAGTGTCAAATAATATTTATTAAAAATTAAATTAATTAAATTAAATTTATTAATTAAAGGTTTTTAAATATAAATGAAACTATAAAATATTTTTTTTAATTTCTTAATTTTAATTAATTATCAAGATATATGCTGCTCCAACGTTAACCTAAAAAAAAAATAAGAATTATCAAAACAGGAAACCAAAAAAAAAACCTTTGAGTAAAACAAAAGTGATAGACTAAATAAATATTTAAATAAATTTTGAACTAAAGAAAATGCAAAACTGCCAATAAACGTCCTAAATCAAAAGCGACTATTGCAAATCAAAAATAATAAATTTATTTTACAGCTCAAATTTTGTGGAAACTGATACATTTTAGAATGAAATTTACTTAAAAGTAAAATAAAGAAGCTTTAATGATAATTTATCTATAAATGTTTCGAAACTGAAGTAAAAAAGGAAAAACAAAAAAACAAAAAATGGAAAGCTTGCCTTAAATGGAAAATATTACAAAAAGGATATACTTACAAATGATAAAATAATTAAACTGAATCAATTAATTCAATTGATTAATTTGAATGGAATATGAAAAAGAAGTTAAAATGTAGATGAAATAATCCAAAACATATGTATAAGAATGTGAACGTAACATTTCAGTATTAATCCAGTAATATTCGCTTAAAATTGGTATTTTCTGAAGTTCATTTCAAGTTTTATTAAATTGATAGAGGTATGAACTGAGAGAGAAAATATTACATTCGAAAGAAAAGGAAGCCTTTGTTAAGAAACTACTAAATTTTGGATTTCCTTTTACGATTCTATCCCTGAACGCATATTATTAAACGAGACGGAATAGTTTGCCGAGATATGGGAAGTTTGCGTCTACCTTTACGTTCAAAACTCACGCAATGCAATTGTGTGAAGTTTCTATTGAAATCTTTTGCTTTAAAAGGTGGCTTGCATCCAACTGTTCAAATGGCCCATTAGAGAAGATTCTCGCTTCATGTCTGTGAGAATTAAATTTTAGTTATTTCTGCTGTTTCAGAAGTGTAATAAATTTAATGAGAATTTCTTTGCGATTTTTAACGAATTGTTTCCCTAAAATGTTAAAAATTCTATAAACCCTGTTCTGAAATACAAGATCGTTTTCTGCTCAAAAACATGGTATCTCAAAAATTTGCCAAAATCTAAATATACGTTATCGCATAAGATTATTTGTCTTGGAGCTCTTTCGCCGGGATTTGAAACACGGATCTTCCAATTGCCAGCTGAACATATTAACCACTCACATAACGAAAGAAAACCCAGGGAAATGCAATAATTCTGCACTCTTATTTGCTTGATTCTAATATATGGTTCATAATGGTATGAAATTGAGCTACCTCTGGTAACAAAGTAAACATTCTGATGTAACCAGCGCGTGACCTCCCACCAATTGAATGTTAAGGACATGGAATTGAAGGAATAACGACGAGGTTTAAGTAAACTTTAAAAAATCACTTCCAGTTAATAACTTGTAAATAAAATCGAATTTGTTTATAAACTTTATGGCTCAGTGTTTATTGTAAACACTACTCATTTTTTACCAGTCTACTCCACCATACATTGGGCAATGTTTTTTTACAACATTTTTTCTTAAAAAAAGTACATAGCGATAACATTTGTTGGCGGCATTCTTTTATTTGAAAAGTGATTGGACAGAAACGTGAAATGAGCACAAATTTGAGGTTTGATTCTAATACATTTAATTGCTTCACAACTAGAGCTCGTGCTCATTGCCTTTCTCCCAACTCCAGAATACATTTAATGCTTTTAAATGTAATATATTGTTTTCTCAATGGCATAGGTATTTTAAACAGAAATTTGAGTAAATCAATATCTTCTGCTCAAATTGCTATAAAAGCTATTAATACTAAAATTGAAAAGTTTTAGATTATATTTTAATACAGGTTTTCGCTAAAAACTGTATTCAACGCGTATACATTTCCCTGCATTGTAGCAGAGCTTTTCTGAGAATAACGTTCTGTTCCTCTACGAGTTGAAAGACGCGTTTAAGAGGATTACAAGCCTCTTTAGCATTTACAAATTAGATCAGTGGCCATTACGGATGTCCAGGTATAATGCGTCTCGAAAAGGAAGTGAAGTTGTATACTTGAACTTAAACATGGGCATATATAAACATTTTGTTTCTCGAATTAAGATAATTTTGTGTTGCATTGTTTGTCGTTATACACGCTACCTTAATTCCTAATGAGACATACTAATTGTTAACTTGAGGTTCGATTTAGAAACATTAATTACTTACAACAAACAGTCAGAATAAATGCAGAACATGAATTTAAAGAAATTACTTTAATTGGCATTAATGTTATTAATCACTTGCTATATAAACTCAAATTAAATCTGGCGAACTATCGAGGGATCCGAAAATTGAGTTCCCATTAAAGTCCTTATCTGAATTCTGGATCGTAGCTGTCCATTTCACATAATTTCTGAAATGACATTAAATGTTCTTTTGCCTACCAGCGCCACATATTTAAT